AGTCAAGCAGTTTTGCTGCTCTCGCTGCCTGGAAGTAATCATTTAGAATAATGCAAATGGAAAAATGGTAATCAGAAGGTAATGTTCAATGGTGCATTCAGATGTATTCAACTATATTGCTTGCTGTTTTCGTCCTATATGGTGGATTATTTTTAACATGTGTTTAGTCAACAAGAAACTTTTGCGTTGAACGAAAGCTGATAGATTCACGTTAGAGTAAATCACAAAAATGAACTTAAATCATCATCATTACATCACGCAGTCTAACATTTAACGTTTGAGTAGGTCATTACCTCAGTTATTTCACTCCACAAGTCAGTATAGTTTGTGTTACTGTATTGATATTTTTGAAGATAACTTTGCAGACCATGCTGAAGGACACCAGGTGTGATGGTATTACTGAGCATATGCAAGAGACTTGCACCCTGAAATTCATCACATTGTGGAGCTAATGAAAAATAATCCCTTTTACTATTACTGTTTTCATCATCGATCTTGGTCTGTCAAATTTGGATAGAAATGATGGAGGAGGAGACAAAATTCACTTGAACACGGCACTGATCCTATCTCAGATCGATAGTTGAATCGATTCTGTTCTGACTGAATCTATTTTAAGCGAGAAGAATTGTACTCAACCTTATTATATGGAATCCTTGTGAAATACTTCGGTTTGTCAGGTACGACCGGTTTTGATGTATTAGCATACGAGTCGATCTCGTATGCAGCCAACGCTTTTCTGTATCGCTCGAATTTCTGAAAATATCAGTAATACACAGTCTTCGTTCCATTTGCAAAACGAAATTACTGGAGGTAGGTAATAAGTAACGATAAAGACATTGACGATATTTTAAAGCTTTGACTTTAGTGCATAGCCATCTTACAGTCACATAGGTTTCCGAGAATTCTAATGCACTCAGCAGAATATCGGAATTTACTCGGAGACAATGATTACAATTAATCACTGACATTGTATTTGGACTGAGTCGGGAATGCTCTCTCAACGCCGAATGTTTCCCAATAATTTGCGAATGCTTCATTCAGG